ATGTTGCACCTTTGACCATCCAGCTTTCCCGTCACATAGACACTGTGTGTGTGCTTGGCATTTTACACCTAACTGTTGGGAGTTTCATGGTGGGGGTTGGTGAGTGTCCCTCAACACCAACCACTACTGGTCTCCTTGAGGCTGATTTGTTGGTAATATTTTTCTTACACTGGCTCCTCTCATGTCCTTGCTTTCCACAATTCCAACAACCTTTCTGGGTAGCAGCCTTTCCTGACATGGCATCTTCCCTGTGTTGAAGTTTCCAGCATTGAGCTCTCTTGTGCCCAGGTTTGTTACAGTGCCAGCAAAGTCCCTCAAACCTCTCTGAAAGTTGACCTTTTCTGGCCTTGAATCCTGATGAGTGTACCAACCTTGGTACCTCTGTGCTGGACTTAACGTAGGATTCAAATTCAAGAGCTCTGGCCATCGCATCCTGCATAGTAGAGGGTGTGCTTGCCTCACTTGTATATTTAGTTGTGGACTATCCAAGGCGTCTACAAACTGATCTCTCAGCAACAACTTGAGGACATTGGGTGGTGCAGTTGGGTAGGCCTTGTGTGCCCTTGCTTTCCAAGTCCTGTGCCAGCTCTTGCAGGCTCTCCCCTTTAGCATGGACTCTTGTCCTAAACCTAGCCCTGTAGACTTCCGACTGATTTTAGGTTCCATACCTGAGTTCTAGAGCCGCTACCAGTGCTCTATAGTTGTGCCTGTCGTCTGCTGACAATTGTCCAAGTATTTCCAGTGGTTGTCCTTTCAAGTTCGTTGCCAGATGTACTGCTTTCTGCTCCTCTGTCCATCCATTCATCTCTGCCAGTAGCTCAAATTGTGCTCTATATGCTTCCCATGGAGCCTTCCCATCGAATTCCTGTGGCTTCCTTTGCACTGGATCACTCCTATTACTGACATTTATATATGGGATGTGACTTCTAACAGAGCTGAAGATGTCTGCATTACGGTTTAGCTGCAGGGTCTGGAAGGGGCTTGCCATTGACTGGGGCTGGTTAAGTCGATGGCTAATGCATCTTCCTTGTGTAAAAGACAATAAATCATCTCTTAATGTATCTAATTCACTTTTAAATTTACTAATGTTTCCCATTTGTTCTTCTTGCCTCTGTTGTAGTCTCTCTTCTTGTTTATTTTCTTTCTCCTCCAATAGCTGTTGTAATCTCTCTTCTTGTTTCTTTTCTTTTTCCTCCAACAACTGCTGTAATCTCTCTTCTTGTTTATTTTCTCGTTTTTCTTGTTTCTCTTGCTGCTCTTGTATTGTTACCATCAAGTCTGCTAAGCTGTAGTTTGATTTTCCGCCTCTCGTTTCCATTTTTTTTTGTCCCACTCTCTGACACCAATTTGTTACGTCTCCGTTCGTTCGTTAATTTTCCGTAAATTCGTTCCGACGAAACTTTAGCGACACAAGTACTTTCTTAAATAAAACTGGTTTATTCTTTCCGAATACAACTTTACGATACACTTAATTTCAACA